CATCCATATAGATGTCAAACCCTTGCTTGGGGGGCTCATGGACCCCGCAGTCAGACAGCGCTTTCTTTCCAGCTGGAGGGAAGGCATTTTCGGATCCAGAAAAACACCTGATGGTTGTGATCCCCTAAAAAAGAGTTAAATCTTTTATTAGAAGCCACCTCAAAGATCATATAGATCAATATGAACCTGTGTGACTCAAACCAGCAACCTGAGAAGGTAAGATGAATCCCCAACTGAAATATCTATGTTGCCAATTTAATTCCAGAAAAAGAAGCTTCAAAACTATAACTTTTCCCTTATCTTTGTCAACAATTGACATATGGGGAAAGAGCTACCTAAAATTTGTCATCTGCCTCACATAGGTATCAAAGAGAACTCATGAATATATAAAAAAGAAAAGCTATAGCTCTTCTCCAAAAATGAAACAAATACCACATGTTAAGGGGGAAGTTTGTAAATTGGCTTTTATGTTTATAGCATCATGGGATATTATAAGTAGTCAGAATAGCTCTTGACCCTTATTTACTGAGTTCCTATAGTCTTCCTCCTTAAATAGTGACTTTTTACCAGCAGTATTCTATAAAGTTCCCATTTTATACCCAGTTATTTAGAAACATGATTTTGGAAACCCATACTACTAAATTCTCTTACAAGCCATAGAACATTTTTGTATGACTTAATGCAATTACTATCAAGGAAATTTCTCAATCACTGCTTCCTTTTATATATTCTTATAACGTTAACCATGGGAACAAGTTTGGTGTCACCACAGTGAACAAGTATAATGCATCAAACACTATTGCTTCTTATGGTGAGTCATGTTAGATGGTATGCAAGTCAGTTGAACCAGGGCAGGTGGGCACGCTTTATGAACCTGAGCTATATTTATGCAAATGCTAGCTCTATCTACTGCATTAACATTGTTTATATAATTTATCTTGGTGTTTACTGTTGAAGGTTACTTCTAAGTTAATATGTGGTTCTGTAACTTTCCCTTGCTTTGATCAAGTTAAATACATGCCTTATGTCTATAAAGAAAAAAACCTTTATGATAGTACAGGAAAAAAAAATAACAAAGACTATAAAGGGCATAATCACAAGTTACTATAACCAGATAACCATGACTCCAAGTTACTGCCAAGTTTGACTCTTGCTATATAGATACATGTAGCTAGGTGGAAACACATATTCATTAAACAAACATTTACTGAACTAATGTGCCAGTTGCTGTTCTAGGTGCCCAGAATTTAGCAGTGAACAAAACGTTCAAAAAAGACTACCCTCATGGGATTTATATTCTAGTCCTGGAGAGGGGCAGGGCAGAGGAAACAAAGAAGAAAAGATATAGTAGGAGCAGACAGAGCACAGTGAGGCAGAGTTGTGTAGTACATAAGCCAGAAAGAAGGAAGAGCCCAGATTATGCAGGCCTTACCAAAGGCCATCTAAGGACTGGCTTTTATTCAGAGATGGAAGCCACTGAAAGATTTTAGGCAGAAGAGTGGAATGATTCTTTTATGTCTGAAAGGATCATTCTGGCTGTGTATAGATATGGAGAGCAAGAGTAAGATGACCATTATGAATCTTGTAAATTCTAGGTGAGACATAACAGGGCTTTGAATCAGGGAAGTTAACAGTTAAAAATGAGAAGTGAAGAAGTTCTAGACATTTCAAAAAGTAGAGTCAATAGTAATTTCTCACTAGATTGGATGTGGGGCGAGAAAAAAAGAAGAGTCAAGGATGACAAAGGTCTTGAGGTTGAATCACAGGAAGGATGGACATTCCATTTACTGAGACAAGGAAGACTTCGTGAAGAGCAGGCTTGGAGTAGGGAAAAAGGCTGGTGCTTGGTTTTGCATAGTATGAGGTACCTATTATAAGATCTAAGTGGAGGTGTCAAGTAGGCTCCCAGTAGGTGAACCCACAATGCAGCTCGCAGGCCCAGGCCCGAGATAAAAATGAGTCATCAACAAACAGATGGTATTTAATGCTGGGAGACTTGAAGAGATTACTAAGGGAGTGAGTGCAAGATTCAGACCAAAGACTAAGCCCTGGGACACTCTAACCTTTAGAGAATATAGTTATAAGAAGAACTAGGATATTGAGGAGTATAAGCTAGGTAGAAAACCTCAAGAGAGTGGTGTTCTCCAAGCTGAGTGGGAAGAAATCATGTTAAGGAATAAAAAATGTTTAACTATGTCAAATACTGCTGATCAGTCAAGTAAGAAAAGGAATAGGATTTGAGTAAAAAGAGAGCAAAAGAAGAACTATGGACAACATTCATCCAAAAAATATTTACGTGGTACCCTATCATTCTAAGCAATGAGCATACAAAAGAAAACATAACATCCCAAATCCTCATCTGGATTACATGCTAGTGGGAGACAAACTCTTAAGGGAATGTTTCAATAAATGGGACAGAAGAGCCGGGCGCGGTGGCTCACGCCTGTAATCCTAGCACTTTGGGAGGCTGAGGCGGGCGGATTGCTCGAGGTCAGGAGTTCGAAACCAGCCTGAGCAAGAGCAAGACCCCGTCTCTACTATAAATAGAAAGAAATTAATTGGCCAACTAATATATATATAAAATTAGCCGGGCATAGTGGCGCATGCCTGTAGTCCCAGCTACTCGGGAGGCTGAGGCAGTAGGATTGCTTGAGCCCAGGAGTTTGAGGTTGCTGTGAGCTAGGCTGACGCCACGGCACTCACTCTAGCCTGGTCAACAAGCGAGACTCTGTCTCAAAAAAAAAAAAAAAAAAAAAATGGGACAGAAGCTACAAAGAGCATGTAGTTGAAAGGTTTTTAGGATAGAAAAAAATACAACATATTTGTATGCTTATGGGTTTAACCCAGTAGAGAAGGAAAAACTGATGAGAGAAGAGTTGCTAGATTGATATCCTTGAAGAAGTAAGAGGACATGAGGTATACTGTACACATGGGAGGATCACCTCGCATTAAGAGCAGGGACACAGCAGTCACGTAACAGGAAGGGGATGGCAGACTATATGGGGCACGTGGAGATGCTCTTCTGGTTGCTTCTATATTTTTAAGAAAATAGGATGCAAAGTCATCAGCTGAGAGTAAGGATGCAGAAGAAGGGTTTGGAGGCTTAAAGAGAGAAGGAAAGGTAGGAAACAGATTTCTAAGAAGGTTGTAGAGGAGTGGAGCCAGGAAATGCAGAGGTGGTGCCAGGCAACATAAGAGGAATTTAAAATGAGACCTTTCTGCATAGGCACAACTGAAAATTCATGAGTCAAGTCTTAGGCTTTAAATTTTACAAAGTAAACATTGCTAAGCAAATGAACATTTGTTAAAACCACTTTCACTCAATTTTCTCCAAAGCTTTTAGGAGATCACTTGAAGAGTCAGTAGATGAGGGGCTCCTAATCTAGCTTCCACCGTAACTTTCTTTCAGTGAGGGCTTAAACCCTTCAAAATTTCTCACCTCTAACATGGGAATGTACTAGTTTTAATCTGTTAGGGAAGGGATCCATGATCAGTTAAGCTCATACAACTGATATGTGAGGGCCCGTTACCCGTCAGCCCAGCTGCTTAGTACTGGAGAGATGTTTGCTTTCAAAGCATCCTTTTTGGAGTAATCTATTCTAGCCTGACCCAATCCTGATTCTAACACTCTACCCAATGGGCACAGCGAAGGTTACCCAGTATTGCTTCAGGCATGGCCTACATCAGTCTAAACAGCACTCTGACCTGGAGGAACCTCAGTTTCATAGTTTATTTGGGGGCATTCACATTTCCTTTAGGCCCAGCACTTTAATCACTTTACATATGCTTAATCCAAACAGTTCTTATACCGATTTCCTTGATATTGGAAAAATAAGCAAGAAAATTAATCACTGTTTCTAAGTGGAAAACAGGATCAGTCAAGGTGACCTTTAAAAATCGGCTTCCCTACAGTCCAGATTCCAGGGGTCTAATACCTAAGGGGCACTGCACACACCACGACGGAAAGAGAAGAGCCATAGGCTCCCACCATATCAGGGGAGTCATTCTCCGCCAGCATCTTCCCCAGTCCTTCTGAATCATTACCTGGCCACAGGTCTTCCTGAACTGCCCGTTTTCAGTTAGCAACCCTAGCACTGTTCTTTGTGGGGGATCCTGGCCCAGCTGGGCTCTGGTGAGCATCTGACAAGCATCGGGACCTCCAGCCACTGGGGCCACGACGACTCCGCTCTTGGAGCTGCTGCGACGCATCGTCTCAGACTCCAGAAGCTGCTGCCACCAGGGAAAGACAAACAGACAAGCAGGTTAGCCAAGCCCCCTCCAACGGGGGCTCCAAGGACTCTCTAGGCCGGAGAGAGCAGCAGGCCTCCGGATCAGCACCAATTGCTGATCTTTCCAGTAATTACTAGGGCTGAGAGGGCGCGAGCGACAGCACCAGCGACCAGAGCTGCTCTGAACCAGAACAGTGATTGGAATCTCTAGTCCAGGACCTGCTTGAGGGCTGGAAGGAGAGAGACATCTTGACAGACCTCCACCGAGAGATACCAAGACGCACGTTGACTCTGGGAGTTCAAATCTATGAGCCTCTTTCCCTGCTGTGACAGTCATCTCCCCTGACCCCAAACAAAGGATCCAAGACACATTACTGTGGGAGAGTATGTCCCCTTCCCAAGTGACAGTCAGGGTGCTGCCCGCGGCCCTCCTCCCACCAGACAGAAGGCCCCAAAACCTGCGTGGAGCCCACAGCCGGGCCCCCCTGCCCTCGGCGTTGTATCTTTGCGTGTGTCTGCAGCAACTAGCAAGTGCACTCGAGGACGGGCCGAGGGGCCGCCGAGGGGGCGGGGCGGGCGGGGCGGGGCGGGAGGTGGCCGCGGTGTCGAGAGATTCCAGCCGGGGCGCCGGCACCCTGCGGCCGCGGCCTGAGCGCTGCGCTCTAATCTCTTTCCGCCCACCCGCGTCTGTTGAATCGGCCAATCAGCGGCGCTCCCCGGGCCCGCTCCCATGCCAACCGCAGCGGGCGTGCGCGCCGGGGGCGCATCGCCATGGCGACCCCCGCACCTGACTCGCTCCGGGCCGACGCGCCGCGACCCCCGGGCGTTCGGGGCCCGGCGGGGCCAACGGGCGACCGCCCGGCCTCCGGCTGCCGCTGCGAGGCCCTGCCCGGGCGTGCCAGGGCGTCCGCCGTCGTCCTCGCGCCCTGCGCTGGCGCCCGGCCCGGGAGGGAGGCAGGCGGCCGGCCGAGAGCGCCGGGCTGTTCCCCGGAGCCGGTTCCCCCAACAGCCGCGAACTGCCCGCCAACGTCTTCTGCGCGGCCCGCTCCTGAGAACCCTGGCTCGGGAGGGCGACGCGGGGCTCTCGGGGCTGCGCAGGCCGCGGCGCCCCGCCACGCCGGCCCGAGGGCGCGGCTCGCTCCCTCCCGGCCCACACACCTGCGCTTCCCGCCGGGCGGCGGCCGAGGCGCGGCGGGGTGGTCCCGGGCGTGAGGCGGGACCTGCGGGTCCGCAGCGGCGACGGCCCCTCGGTCATCGGGGGTCTCGGAGCGCCGCAGGCCGCGCCCGGCCGGCCCTGCTCCCGGTGCATGTGTCCCGGCGAGGCGGGAGAGAGACCTGGGGTCTTCGGGTCGCACGTGGTGCTCGAGGTCCCCACGAGAGGCCTTCCCCGACGGGGTTCCTGTCGCCACTGCGGGAATCCGGCCCGGGAACGCCGAGCTTGTGGCCCAGGAAGAGGAAGGAACGTGGGCAGCAGCAATGGGGCTTGGGGCGTTGAGGGGACAGTGGCCGGGCTCCGAACTGGGACCTGGGCGGGTGGCCTGGCCGCGAGGGAGGGAAAGCCGGGGGCCCACGGCCCGGGAGGGAGGGAAGAAGACGGCATTCTACGGGGGCGAGGCGAGGCAGGGTCCTGGACACCCGGGACCCCTGGCACTGTACAGGTGACTGGCACTTGGCAAGCCAAGTGAACCTATAACTTTATTTGGGAAAAAATGTATATATATATATGTGTGTGTGTGTGTGTGTGTGTATGCATACATATACACACACAATACCTATAGGATAATCTGTTACCACTTTCGCTGTTTTTTAAACATCTATCCCTAAATCTCTAAAGCAGATCCAAAGGCCATTCAAATGGCCACTTCAGGCAACGATTAGTTACCACCGTCTCCCTAAGTATGAGTTGTTAATGTTTCCACCCAGCGCACGGGGTGTGCACCGTCTTAATGGGACTCTAGTAGTGTCTTGATCGCCGCAACAGATAAGTCAGATGCCAAAGAGGACCAAATGCTCTGTTTTGCAAGGTGGCTCTTTTTCCAGTGATGGAAAGGAGCATTTCTGCCCGGGGAGCCCTCCCCACTTGGCCACACTTGTGATTGCTTGGGACGCTGAGGGCCTCAGGGATTAACTCCACCCAGACTGGCCTGCAAGAGGAGCCAAGAGCCCGGGTCCCTTGGGAGGGGGCAAGATTGGCTGTGTTCACAACTCTGTATGTCCCTTTTGATCTGATTTCCTCTGACAAAGATGACGGAAACCTCACACTCCAGAACAAAAGAGCTGATGTAATGTTTGTTCCTGGAACCTGACGTTTTGATCTCCCTTTTTAGGATTGAAGCTGGGGGGGGGGGGGGGGGGGGGGGGAGGCTTCTGCAGAGGCAGCTCTTTGAGGATGCGTGCTGTCATCGCACATCTGGTCAAGACCAGATGACGAAGGCTACGGAGGTGTCTAGTGTCTCTTAGCCCTCTTTAGCCTGAAAAACGCCTTTTAAAAAGAAAATAATTCAACTAAATGGTGCCCTCGGATTATTTCATACCCCTTCCCTACTGCCTCTGTTCATTTGAATGGCTGCAGCCTACTCCAACCTTAATACCTCCAAAATATTACTATTGTTACATGTAAACACCACCTTTCTTCACTCTCCATCCACTTTGCTAACCTTGACAAAGAAATGATTGTGTAGCTTATGATCATTTTCTTCTTGTGCTGTCTTAGAATTCCACATTAAATCATAATCCTCTGGTCATATCTTAGACTGGAGAGTGAGCCAGGTGAGCTGGTACTTATACATATGTGTGGTAGTGTAGGTGGAAATTCAGATACTTCTTTAATTTGTGCAATACTTATGGCTTTCTTGGCTTTCAAAAATATCTTCACTAAATATGCAGTTCAGTGAGTAATGATTTATGACATAAAAACATTCAATTAATGAATAGGCGCACAATTTTTATGTAAAAAATCTAAACTAGGCCGGGCGCTGTGGCTCACGCCTGTAATCCTAGCTCTTGGGAGGCCGAGGCGGGCGGATTGCTCAAGGTCAGGAGTTCAAAACCAGCCTGAGCAAGAGCGAGACCCCGTCTCTACTATAAATAGAAAGAAATTCATTGGCCAACTGATATATATATAAAAAATTAGCCGGGCATGGTGGCGCATGCCTGTAGTCCCAGCTACTTGGGAGGCTGAGGCAGAAGGATCACTCAAGCCCAGGAGTTTGAGGTTGCTGTGAGCTAGGCTGACGCCACGGCACTCACTCTAGCCTGGGCAACAAAGTGAGACTCTGTCTCCAAAAAAAAAAAATCTAAACTAAAAATTTGACCTTAGCATGAAGAACAACAGGAGCAGAGGGAATCAAAAAGACTTTCTCACAAATTATGCAGTTTTAATAAGAAGCATAATTATAATTTTGCTTTTATAGCCAAATCAGCATTAGAACTCAAAGATAAGTAGATTTTAAATTTTCCTTGTTTTACATAAAGTCAATATTTGGTTATAAATTTTATTGCAAAGTAAAAAATGCATTTAATTCTAAATAAAACATTAACATCTAAAATATTTGGCATAACTTACATACTAATATAACACCTTTTTTAACTTAAAAAGTTACTGGTCAGCACTTCCTGATATTGAGTGTTCATCTGGCTTTCACTGTAGGATTACCTTCCAAAATAAGGATAACTGCTGAATTCTTTACTAGAGATTTTTAAAACCCAAAAGTCCTACTAACATTTGACTGCTCCCTCCAAGTTACAGTTTAGATAATCTTTTCTGTTTGCCAGCAATTACCTGGCATTTCAGAAGCAGGTGTTACTTCTCTTACATTTGCTCATTGTAACTAGTAATTACCGGTAACTTCCTGTTCAAACATTATAGTTTAGTAATTTGTATGAAAGCAAGTTGATGGGCCTGAAAAAGAGATGAGAAAGGTAGAGAAAATTTTATTTAAGGACAGAGGTCCATTTAGGGACATATTTTGTCTACTTCATGGACATACTTCTGTCATTCTCAGGTATATATTTAAGAACATAGCTCTATGGTGAGATGAAAGACAAAGGAGCCAGCTGCAATTTGTGACAGCTCCATGGAAGATGGCCAAAGGATGAATCAAGTCCAGCATGAGAAAGAGCCAAAAATTTACAGCTTTACAAAGCATATTTCATCAGGTTATAAAAAGTGGATCTCTTGGTACATAATGGGTGAAATAAGTTTTCATTAAAACTTTTAAAAGACCACCTTCTCTGAGAGAAAACAGTGTGAATACATACATGAGATTTAACAAAGTCTATTGTTCATTCATTCATTTCACATACAATTTTTTGTGCACCCATCATATGCCAGGGAGTTTCTGGGTATGGGTACTACAATTAAAAATGATCCTGTCCTCAAGGAGCTTTTGTTCCAGGCAAGGAGAGGTATCAGATATCTATGGTGTGGTATAATTAGTGTTTATTTCATCATGGGGGATACAGATGTATAAACAGGCATCGATTTGGAGCTTAGAGAAAAGGAACAAGGCATGTTGCTGGGAAGGGTTGGAAGCAGTATCCAGATCTGATCATTAAGATGATTAGCATGTTTAAAAAATTAACTGACCAGGAAGGAGTAATAGTCTACATATAGCCTAGAAAGGGGGCACCCAAAGAACAGGGTTTTGGGCAGTGCTTATCCAGTACCTTCCAAGAAAGAGGAGTAAATTACGATATCCCCAAATCCCTCAAGGCTGTCTCTACTGGCTCTGGTACAGACTCCATGAGCAACTAATATCTCATGAAGAATTCAACCTCCCAGGAACTTGGTGAAAGGAAGAAGGTTTTGGTGACCAGTTACCATGAGTTAGTCCCTAATAATGTGCTCAGCTAGAGATGCATTCATACCATTAGAATCAGATTCCCATAATGCAGAGTTGAGGCCTTTCCAAGATTCTGCACCAAGGAAAAAATAATTTCAGTGGATGACAAAGCCATTTGCTATTATAAATAATTGAAAAAAATTTTAATTGTCAGACCTTTACTGAAAATCAATCTATCGTCAGTGGAAATAAAGAACTTGATTTTTACACATTCTTTCATAGATCTGAAATTTATCTGATGAATCATATCTTGATATGAGGTAATGGCATCTTCAAAGTTAGCTGTCATTGGTTATGTATAACCATAACACATTGGTTATGTGTTTTTAACTAATTGTCCTGTTTTCACTAGTTTTTCTGTGAAAATCAATTATTCAGCCATCAGTTCTATGACAAAGTTGATTCCATAAAATAGATTTCCTGTGTTTTGTATTTCTGTTTATCTCTAATTGAAAATGCTATGTAATTTCCACATCACCTGCCTGTGTCTTTGATTAGATATAGACAAATACCATATCCAAGAACAGGCTCATGCCCTGCTAACTCCAGCAACTGTTTATTAAGTGATATTATCTGCCTGTTTTTCATTAACTAAATCCTGTTGCCACTAAGTCACAAAATATTTATAAAACTTGTATTGTGCTGCCTCATTACTTTTATTTTTCATCTAGAAATTAATAATATCAACATTGGTTAAACAAATAACATTTAGCTCCCATTCTAAAATTTAGATTTTTAAAATACAAATTTTTTTGATGCTAAGGACAAAGAAAAAAATCCTAACCCAGAGTTGTGCAGACTTGTTAGGCCTTTTTGATTCCTATCAGTGCTATGTAACCTAAAGAATTTATATAGTCCTCACTTGTGAAAATTCTATTTGGGTAAAAGAAATCACAAACACATATAACTTTTTAATAGCAACAATGAATCATAAAAGTGTGTGCATGGGTATTTGTTCTTTTTTGGAATTTAATATTTTTTGTAACTTCATGAGACAGTTTCATGATTCTGTCCATAATACCAGAATTGTTTATTACAGTTACTGAACATTTTACCTACTCAAAAGTGTGTCCACCTAAAGAGCATTGTGCTCTGCATATAAAGAGCACAACACATTTTAATGCATTCTAACAGTAGCCATAGAAGTTGCATAAATGAGTATGAAAGACTCTTACACCAAATTCAGTCTTATAGAGGAAGAAAAATACACACAAATGATTGGCCACAAGGTAGAGTAAGATAAACACTAAGAAATCCAGAGAAAGTTCTGGTTAAAAAACAGGCATATTTTCGGCTAATTAAGGAAATCAGGAAAGGTTTTTTGAAAACGGCGGTTATGTGTGTAGCCTTGAATTTGGATCTGATTTGGGGAACCTATTTTAAGAAAAGAGTTCTTTATGAGTAAAGACACTGAGAAGAAAATTGCAAAACACTTGCTGGGGAATGCTAGTGTTCTATAACATCTAAGATTATAGTATAAGATACACTTTGAGCAATTAGGAATATTGGGATAATGGCCTGTAGGGTTGGTTTTTTTAATTTATTTATTTTTGATGCGGGCGTGTTGTGTAGGCGTTAGCAGTACTGCCCTCACTACTCATTCATTGGACAGTAGCGCTACCCCAAGAGAAGGATGGTTGTCCTATAGAGTTTTTGAATGCCAGAGTAAGAAGTCTGCTAAGGCACTTTTGAACAGAGGAATGATGAAGTTAGAACTATGCTTATAGAAAAATAATCTCTTATAGAGAGCAATGTGTTGCAAGATTTGGGAGAGGGAGATGCTTTAGGGAATAATTGCTACATGAAATGCAGAC